TCTCAACAAAGAACACAATTTATCAGAGTAATACAAGACAATAAACAAGAAGTCTTAAGAGTTGTATATTTTTGTTATATTTCCTATGCAAAAAAACATTCAAAATTAAACTGGACACTGACAACTGGTCTAATTAAGTAAAATTCACCCAAAATTAGCTAATTATTTCCATATATTGTTGCCCTAAGTTTTTGGGTTTGTCCAGTTTATAGTACACATTATGTGACCACTTTTCAGAATGCTTATAGAGAATAACACTTATTTTATGTGTGGGCATTTTAATTTGTCTTTAAATCATGTGGCTAGCATTGTGTCAGTGAATACATTACATTTTAGACTCCTAAAAAATAATATTAAATTACATATAGACTCTGTCATGCTTAATTAATGATATGGATAGATGAAACAACAGTCTGGAAACACTGTTTCACAATCAATAGTGTGTTAACTTACTGAAAATTCATTTCCTAAATGAGGAGTTATTAAAAAATCTACTTTACAAGTATCTATCCATCAAAATATAAAATATTTACATTTTCCTTATATATACACTGGGCTTATCAAATAATGTCAAAAGTAAAGTGTCTACCATTCAGAAAATTATTAAAAGAAAAACATTTAACAACTCTGGAAAGGAATGTGACATTGTCAATTTTAAATCAGGGAACATTTTAGTGCTGTACTTTCAGTCATTGTAGAAAGGTCATCCCAGATGGTGCAGATGACGCACATGGCAAGCAGGAAGGGAGGCAGAAAGCAGGTTTGAAGAGAAGAGAAATAGCACCTCATCAGTAAGTCTGAATGGTGAAAAAATATGTTAAAAATGATTATGCTATTAAGTTATACAAAACAGAACAATCCCCTGGTAGATTGCTTTCTTCTTTGAGCTACAGGAGATGTGTTAATTCAAATGTGGCTTTACACAAGGGCTAGAAAGAAGAAAAATGCAGGAACATCACTAGAAATTGGCAATGAGTGGATATATTGGCTGGATAGGACATCACAGGGTAATGGCTAGGGTGAAAATATAACAGCTGTGGTTTGCTTTTAATGGAGGGGGAACTGAAATGTAAATATATAAATATTGCTACTTTTCTGTTAAAGTCTGATGTGAGTTATACAGGTGCCCTAGAGCCTTGGAACCATCTGGGTACTATGCTAGCTTGACAGGCTATGGGCAGAAACAATAGTCCTGCCAAGAAAAATAACTGAAAGCAATCTGTGTTTTACCAGCCCAAAAAAATAGCATGGCTTATTTTCCAAGAGCAGTCCTCAGTTCATTATCACATTCTGTTGCTTAACAATATTATCTGACTCCATGTAAAGCAACCAATTAAAGAAGCTTGTTAGGAGCCCTGTGTACATCAGCTGCAGGCTGTAATTTGTCCTAGAAATCAGATAGAAATTGATGTAAACTGATATGAACACAACTGCATCTCTTCGCTTGGTTATTCTTTTTAGAACCCTCCTCCTTGGTCTAAAGAGATCAGGTGTGGCATTGTCAAAAATTTTAATGCACTTATTCTAAACCATTTTTATTTTCAGGAATGGAGTATGTGCCTTGAGGCTGTCAGCTTAATTCTTGACTGGCACAACCTGCCATAGCTACACCAATTTAGAGTTTGCTCTTTGTAGATGATTATTTTTCTGTTATGACTCTTCTGTCATTTCGTTTCTGCTATGGTAAAGTTCAAGTACCTCTTTCTGAAGGTCATGTCCTTCTCCACAAGCAACCAACTCAGGATTTTTGGACAATATAATTAGTTATATTAATTACATTTAAACAATCCTGTCTGCATCTTGATTCTTATGAATATTCAGGAAATTTATTTCCTTGACTAAAAATATTTTTAAATATATATCTTACAGATATTTCAGAAAAACATGTTTATTGTTACAGAGTGGAGAGAGGCAGCCCATTGAAAAGACAATGAGCAGACATCTTTTACAATTACAGGTAATTTAACAATTTATAGTGGAATTTATTTTTTCCTGAATACTATTTAAACAAGAAATCTGAAACTTGGAAATTTAGTAGCAATTATGCATATTTTTGGGGTCACCTATGACTATAACATTTTCCTTCAAGCTTTTGTCATGCTTCAATAGAGCTTTGGGTCTAAAGATGACAAAGTATCTCTGTATTATGTAATAAAGTTCCTACAGTCCTGCTAAATTAAGTCAATATGAATTGTTCCAGCTCATTCTGTAGATCAAGCCCAAGGCTCTGTTTACTCATGTTTCTAAAAATTAGATGCCATTTATAACAATGTCATTCTTTTTATCTTGTCAAAGTTCTTTTTTTTACATCCACTATATTGTGCTGTATATTTTGCTTCCAAATGTTAGCGCACCATTACTTTTCCCTTTTGCACATAGTTCACTTGGAAAGAAACACAGAGCAACTGGAGAGAATGAAACAAACCTGTACTGAGAGCTGAAGAAGAGAAACTGGAGAAGCTGTTCTGAGAGCTGGAGAAGCTCAGATGTACAGGAGGGAGAAATGGAAGTTTTAGAGTCCACATAATGGCAATTAATATGTAATGAATACCATGACCATTGAACATGGAACTGCTCTAAACCTTCTTTTTCAAAGGTGCAAAATGTTGTTATCTTTTCATATCTGAAAGAGCAAAGGGGAAACTGTGCTGGTTTCTCTGCTGGATTCAGTGTATCTCACAATTCTCTCTTTTGCAGTTCATGTTCTAGTCATGGTTAAAGGGAGCCTATTCATCTTTCCAGTAGGTATTTTTCTGTATTACCATTGTATCTCTAGTTTGACATCACTTTTCAAGACTAGCCACTGCATTATCTTTTCTCCATCCTACTGGCAGTCTGTCATGCTGTGCTTCTGTATACATCTTTCATTTGTTTTCATAAGTTTTATTTTTCCCCTGTTTTTCTTATTACAGTGGGTCTATTTTTATTTTTTTTTTTACTTCCTGTACTTTGTTTATATTATATTTAATTCCAGTCATAATGTTTTATTATTTCCTGTTTTATGACAGCATGCAGTCAACACAACTCCAGTTGCATTTTAGAGGTTTCTATGCATAAGCCGACACTGGATGATGCCTATTGTACTAGGAGACAGTCTTTTTCTAAGATTTGTGCTCATTATCATCTTCTAACCTCAGTATTTACACATTTTAATTTTTTTTTATGCAAGTTACATTTGTTGAATCTCTTTAACTTCTGTTTTATAAGAACCAAACCTGTTCTTGCACATATTTGAATTTTCAAGATACTGTAGGACTTTAAAAAGTCTATAAATAAGTGACTTGAATGTCCCTTCTTATTAGGAGCAAGGAACATTCAGAGTTGCTGCAAGTACTCCAACATGTATGAAACAGCACAGCTGATGCAGATTTTTTTAATTTGAAACTAATTTGCTGAAAACACAATTAAATTACAGTAGGCAGTTGATCAAAGCCATAACAGGAGATCTGAAGTTACAATCAACTCTGAGCTGTGCATAATTGAAATGCAGAATAAATTAATGTAGATAAAGAGAATATTACTAAGTAGAAACAATGCTCTAAAAAGCAAGAGTTTTAAAGGCATGGAGTAGAATGAGGTGCTTCTATTGTAAGCAGGACTGAAATGTGATCAAGAATCTTGTATAGCCATGAGAGTATGTATATTATAGATCATACAAATTTATTATCAGGTATCTGTGCACATTACCCCACAGAAATTTTACACAAAATCAAGCTCTCAGCTATAATAAATCACTCTTTCAGCCACCCAGCTCTATAGTGTATCCTCCATGACAATGCAGGAATTCCATACCAAATGTAAATACAACACCATCATTCATATTTAGATACAGTGACATTTGGAATAAGATAAGATCTGTAATAGGAAAACAATATATTTTATTAGATCAACTTACATGGGAAATATTGACAGATTTTCAGATATGCTGGATACTTTTATTCTAAGTTTTAGCATTACTTCATGGTCTGAAAACAATCAGACTTTAATCAAACCAATTTCCAGAGCTGATTGTGCCTCAAAAAGACTGGGCTGTGTAAAGGCTATCCTTCCTTTAATTTACTGAGCCATTATCTGAAGTGTCATAGATCATTTCATTGCTGTGAGAAAGAAGCAACACATGTCAGGAGAAAAGAAACACTAAAACCAACCAAACCAAACTCAAAACCCCTTATTCATCAATTCAACAATTATTCAGATGGAACTTTCAAGTAGTGACAGAAAATGACTACTGAGGTAAACCTAGATCAATGTTATGCTAGCTGTTTAAACAAATACAGGAAATCATTCAATACTTTTAATAACTTAAATTTTTTACCTGAAATTAGACAGTAGGTGACAGGGAATTAGACAGGGAAAGGCAAATGATAGAAGTAATGCATTTCCTATGGGAAACTCTATTGAATGCAGGAACTGCTAGACTCTGCAATGTGGGGGTTGACTTTTTGCTTATTAAGGTCATCCACCTCAATGCTTTTAATGAAATTCCTCTCTGAAAAGGATTTGACACTTTGCCTCTGTGTGTGTGTGTGTGTGTGTGTGTGTGCAAAGATAGATGGATGGTGCTTTTCAGTGGAATAAAATAAAATAACTTTTAAGATCAGGGAAACTACTAGCTAAAAATTTATTTTTTTATAGCTTCATCTGCCTTTTTTACTTTTTTTTTCTCTTTTATATCTAATACACTTTTTATAAATATGGTGTAGTGTTCTTCCATGTCTAGGGACATTATTTTATTTAAATTAACTTTGAGGCTTTTTCGTACTGCAGAAACAGATCTTCATGTTTCTCGTGGATAGGTTTCCTACTGCCTGTAGATTTGGAAGGGAAAATGCTAAACTAGTAATGAAAAATCTACTTCTAGAGCGGTGTTTCTCAGTTCTTGCATAAAAACACAACAGCAATGGATCAGGAAAGTTAATTTGGTTTCAAAAATACTTAGCTAGCTAATACATAACCAAGCAAAAAAAACCACAATCCTTACCTTTTCATTACATTTTATTCTTCTTGTTCAACTAGTCTTTGCTAGCTCCTGAAATATAAGAAAAAATAACTAAACTTATTCACTATATACTCTTGCTTTCATAGTACATGCAATTTGGTTGTTGTTTTCTTCAACTAATAGATCACACCTTGGAAAGGCTGAGAATCATTCACCAAGAAAACCATCAGTGACTCTGCTCAGTTGATTTGTGACAGTCTTTTACATAAGATAACTCTGTACAACAACTGTGGAATTCTGTAACAAATTACTCAATTTTAGCAGGTAAGCCAGAAATTGTTAGAACACCTTTAAATAAAGAAGTTAGTTCAAGTTTAACTATGGACGTTTAGAAGATAAACATTAATAATTCTCTTATCTCTCTTATATCTTTAAGAAAAACTACTTTCTGGAAAAGTATGACAGGTTTCATAATGTAAGCTTATTTTAAGATTTTCTGAATCATCATAGGTCGATATGACTTCTTTGTAACTTTGCTTGTTTAGAATGCTTCAGGGCTCATTGGGATCAAACCTCTAGAAAAGAGAGAGTGAAAGATCCCTTCCTCTATCAACCACCAGTAAAACTGTGATTTTCTTTTACATTCTGAAATGGATTATTTAAAATTAGTCAGATCCTGTATAAAGTATGAGCAAGATTTACTTTTAGCAAGGAACACTTCTCATTTCCCTTCCCTTCCCTTCCCTTCCCTTCCCTTCCCTTCCCTTCCCTTCCCTTCCCTTCCCTTCCCTTCCCTTCCCTTCCCTTCCCTTCCCTTCCCTTCCCCTTCCCTTTTTTTCCTCAGATTCTTTGCTATAGTCCAAAGAGAATTTAAAAAGTTCTGATTTTTTTTTCTCCAAGGATAAAAAGATCTACTTGAGCTTGAACCACAGGCTGCAGTTCAAGGTTCAAAGTGGTTCACTGTCCTTCTTGGAGATTTTCTCTTCTTCTAAAATTTATCTTTGAATTATAAATAAGTCTAAGAAAAAGCAAAACAAAACAATGTTTCTTTTATGAATGAAGCTCAAGTATGCAGAAAAACAGTCTTATTGGGGGAAAAAAGTGCTGCTTTTTTGATTGACTTCAACAGTAATGATATACATTTAGAAGCTAAAAATGAGAGAAGAAACCTACAAAACAAAACAGCTGAGTTTTTTCAGTATTACAGCTTTATGCTCATATATGTGTACAACACTTTCATGATTACATGGTTGTTACTTGGTGGTTTTATTGATAATGCTAGTATATTTTTTTTAATCACAGAGATGATTTTCTATAATTGATGGCAATTTCTAACACATTCTAATTTATTCATTTTCTCAGGAATGTTCTTGTAGATTTCCTGTTTTAAAATTCAGTCATGGAAGGATTAAATTTAGTAAGCAATTTCCATAAGTATATGTTACTTTAAAGAAATGCAAAGTAGACTCAATAAAGTGATATTTTTACATAGTGATTTTCTTCTTTGGGCAAGATACAATTTTGAACAATGCTGATGTTAAAGTAGTCCCTTCCCTATTAAAGGACAACATAAGAATGAGCAACTAGATAAAGATCTTGGATAGGAGTAGGTATTTAAGATCTTGACTGGTTGAATTTATAAAACACAGTTTTAGCTTCCAACTTTTCCTTCTGTTTTTTCAATTGATTATTTGTTTAGCAATACCCTCCAAAAGACCCTAGAGGGAAATCTTTCCTAGCTTGAAAAGCAATAGTGAGTACAATATCTTGCGACTGCAAGAAAATGGCCTGGTTGATATGGATTAAGTCAGTAATAGATATTTTTATATTCAGTTCAGATTTTTAAATTTCTCCAAGCCGGAAAAAAGAAACAACACTGTCCAACTAAAATTTCTCCTACCTTAAGAGAGAAAAATTTGATTTCCCTTCAAAGCAGACACTATCATCACAGTGATTTATGAATTATAAAATATAAGATACATCTATACAAGTCAAGCTGGAAAATGAGCATTCACCAACACACAGAAGTCACTTTGTTTTATGACTAGTGTTTTATAGAAAAGAAACATTTTAAGTCATTATAACTGAGGAGAATTTTAATGCTAAAACTGAAAGGACTATGTTCCTTGTTTACTGAAAATTCCCTATTTATTTAAAAATATCTAAAAAAATTAAAAATTTCTTACTAAAGAGATTTATACTTACCACACAGATATTTTTATGTACAATAGTTAAAACAAGTTTAAATCTGGGGGTTGATTGCTTCTTTGTTTGCTTTAGGGAACAAAAGTTATTTTTATTTGAGAGTTGTTGCATTTTCCCCCCTTATTTTTATGACAGCCTAATTTATGGTACAATTAGTAAGATTGGATTCTTCAGTGCCATGATTTTTGTTGTATAATGAAAGGCAAAAAAACAGAGTACACAAATGATAACACAGCCTTCCCCTTTTACAGTTACTAGCTCTTGGAGAAACAAATGCTGCAATTTATATTTCCTCAGCTTCATTGTTGTGAATGACTTCACTATTTCCCTTAGAGATATTTTTTTCTCAACAGCTGTTTTAAAGCATTACTTGATTTTTTGATTTTAAATACTGTGCTATTTATAGTTTGTGGAGTCTGATGGGTGAAATGGAGATTAAAAATAAAGTTGGTTGGACAGGTAACAAGCTCATTAATGCCCTATAAGAACATCCAATTCTAAAAGAATTGAGGCATGCTGCTCAATCAGGGTTTGCTTTTTTTTTTTTTTTTTTCTATAGAAAAGTGAACAAAATAAAAGAATTAATGACTAAAAAATGCTTGGGCTCAGATCTCACAAATTTAACAATCCTGTTAAAGTATTAAAGAAAAAAATAAAATCAGCTCTTCAGACTATTAGGTTGCCATGCTTTTGTAAAACATTTTAATAAAAAATGCATTAGAAGTTTCTTAAAATCATTGGGGGAAAAGTCTTAAAAACAAATCAAGTAATAATATTTGTTAAACAAAGTATATTTGTTCTTCCCATCTGTCTACCAGAGGCAAGCATGGTCTGGCATTTGAAAATTTTAATGTTGCCACTATTATTCCACTGCTGGCAGCTTCATTTCTTGTGCTATACAAGTAAAATATATTCCAGACCAGTGATTTCTCCTCCCACTCTTTCCTTCTAAAATCTGTTCTGCATACTAGGAAACAGATAAATAAAACATAAGATGCCATTAAAAAAAAAATAATAGAAAATGAGGACATATTTCCTTATTAGAAACCACATATATTTCAACTGAGTTGAATTTAAGGAAAAGCCAAAATTTAACAATTCAGTGACTCAGAAAACACTGCCTTTGTTTTAAAAAAGCAAGAACCCAATATGCTTAATGTGGCATGACTTTTTTTTCTTAAGGGTTCAAGTATCTTCTTCTATTAACATCTTATCTCTGTAATGTATTTTTTGTGTATCCCAATTCTTATCACAGTGAATTAGATGAACAGCATCTTGACTAGTAAGTGATTTTTTAATTTTTTTTAATTATATACCCTTCTATGCCTCTGGAGCCATAAGATACTGTTTGAGAAAAAAAGCAAGACTCATGAAAGCACCCAAAAAATTTGGAAAAAAACAAATGTAACAAAAATACTTTCTAGGCAGTTTCCTCTGATTTAGTTATTTTATTTCTACACAATTTTTCTTCACCATCTTTCAAGGAAATTAATTTATTTCAATGGGTGTCACTTTCTGCTCCTATTTCTTATAATAACCAAATTTCTTCCAAACTGCCTGGGAATTTAAATATAGCTAATATTACCTAAGAGTGCTACAGTACATTTTTGTAAGCTAACTTGAGATACCTTGAAGTTAAGTGATTCAGGTCTTAGTTTCTTATGACTATAGACATTGTCCTCACAACATTGTCCTAAGTATTGCAGTCTCTCTTCCTACAAGCCAAAATGATAAATTTTGGGCATATAATTACTTAAATCCAAAGTGCAATCAAATAGTTTTTCATAGGGCTGCTTTTCTTGTGATTTTAACTTTTTTTAATACAGTATTTATAAAAATGCACTGCCAGTTTACATGCAGATAAGGACAATAAGACTGTTGAAATAAAGCATATATAAAAAGAGCTTGTAAACGTTGGTAAAATAAACTGGTGTTTTTGTTCTGGCTAGAACAGGGTTAATTTTTTTGCAGTAGCCAGGAGGGAGCATGGCTAGGAAACAGAGGTTATTCAGTGACACCCCACATCATTACCATGGCCTGACATCAAAAGAAGGGAGTCTCCACTGGGGAGAAGAGATTTCTTCCAGTGGTGTAAACCTAGACAGGGCAGTCGTGCATTGCCTGTTGTCAGGGGGTTTCCTGTGTGAATCACTCACTTCTCGTACCTCTCTTCTCATTAGATTGTTCTCATCTCAATCTGTGATCTTTGCCTTTTGTCCCTCCAGTTCCCCTCTCACCCCTGGAGCAAGGAGGAGGGAGAGAGGGAAGTGGGGGAACACCCAAGCAATGGTTGGGAGATGCAGTGAGAGCACTAAACTAGGGAGTACCACTGCTAAACCACCACATCTGGATACATGTATATAGACATATACATAGATATATATGTATATAGATACATATATGGAAAGGAGAAAAAGATGCACATACAAAATTATGGGCTTAAGTATTTTAGAAATTATTGTTCAGTAATTAGAACGAAACTAAATTCCAGAAGTCATATAGCAGAAAATTAATCAATGTTTACTTTTCAATAATTACTGATTTTGCTTTCAGTGAATCTCTGAACAAACTTCGGGAGCAAGATTCATCTCACCTAACCTAAGGTGCCTACAGGGAAGATAGCAGTGTTTGAGCTTATCACCTCAAAAATCTTTCGTAATCAATGCAGAAAAAAAAGAAACAAATCAGAATAACTTTTTAGATTTGTTTCACCTGACCTGTAGGAGATACTTGCTTTAGAATGAGATCAACCATAGACTAATGAAGATTTTTTTTCCCCACTATAAGGAAAAATTAAGATGATGATCTTGCATTTTTTGTAAGTAGCACAAATACCTACTTTTGATCACATTAATCATATTATAGCATGTAACAATCACTGTAGCATGGTTTTGCCCATTGTTTTGTCTGTATCTCTAATATATTAAAAGGATTTTAAAGAATCTGTTTATTCTTAATTTTATTGTTTTCCTTTTGAATTGATTATACTTAGAAGAATGTTAATAGATATATTTGGTAGAATAAAAGTGCAAAAGACAATCCCATGCTTAAGAAAAAGGCATCCCACTAATTTTGTGAAGGCAAAGAGAATGATCCCATGTGGATATGACAGTGCATAATTATCTATCATGTGAAATTTTTGTTTTTCTGCCAGGTATCTCTTGGTAGCTGCAGGAAAGTGACGAGTCCAAATAAAGAGGACGTTTGAGCATGAGCCAGGAGATTCAATTTAATATCTCACTATTGTCACTTTTGCTACCTGCTGCACATTTAAACTCTCTAGCCCTAATTTCTTTTCTTGTTTTTGGTTTTTGTTTTGTTCTTTTTTTTTTCACAGTTCTTCACAGTTCACAGCAGAAAAGAGATCTGCTTTAGGGTTGGGTCTTTATGCACCACAAATATAATAACTCTGTGTAATATACTGTATTAAAAACTTTTTGATTAAATATTTCATTTATGGGACTGCCCTCTAAGATGTCTTATAGCACTGCAGCATTAGAAACATAGTGCATTTCCCAGGTGCAGAAAATGTATTGTGCTAAATGAGCTAGTGGTCTAATCAAAAGGAACTCTAGATCTATTAAAGGGAAGATCAGTTAATGACAAGTCCCTGGTGTAAATGAGGTCACTTCACAGCCTTTCACAGTATAAAGTAGAAATCAATTTCATTTTAGGAATAATAAAATATAAAGGAATCTCATTTTATCATTAGAATGGACTCTTAGAGATTGAGATTACATTTTCCTTTAAGGTGAACTCTTGCATCCGCTCTGCATAAAAATGAAGTGCTGGAGATATTTGTAATATTTATAATGTTTTTAAATTGATAACATTTCCATACAACTCATTGTTAAAAGCATATGTAAAACAAAGGTATATCTGAACTGGAGCAGTTCAGAACAAGGAGTTTATTTCGATTTCTCCTTTCCTCTTTGTATTCATGACTTTAAATATTGCAGAGCTGTTCTTGCTGGTTCCCATTCTGCTGAATCAGCTCTTACAGAAGCATCATTGTTCTTGGAGACTGACATAGGTTACAGACTGCTTAAGAAATGTGAATTAGGTGCACTGGTGCATAGGAATGAGCAGAAGAACTTGAAAGCTTTTTTTTATTATTTTGTCCAATCAACTCTGCCTGTCTCTGTAGTGCCTATATCCAGATTAACCCCAAGCTTCAAAGGCTTTTAACAAAGCTTCAAAGCAGGCAATTTGTGCATCATTATTACCTTATTTTTGAAAGTAAACCTCTTACTTCGGGGTGCAAACATTCTTTAAAGGAGGATTGAAATCTAAAAAATAAAATTACAAGAAATTGAATTAAATGGTGAAAAACCTGCTACTTCTATCCTAGTATTTTTTTTTTTTCTTTATGGCTTCAACACAATGTGCTTTGCATTTCTTTCAAGGGTCAGTTTGTCATATCACATAAAGTACAGTGAGGTGCATATTCCACATAGGCCTGCAGGTCAGTTCAAGAGGTCACTATACAGTTTCAAGTGCTCATTTCCATGCAGAGGAAGATAGAGCAATTCAGATGAAAGAAGCTAACATTATATAGTTGTACCTCTGCAGGACAAGTATTCTGCCTTGTAGAATGTCTGCATGATATCTCTATGAGATTAAAAATTATTGCAGAGAAGAAGGACTAATGGGTTGTCCAATGCCCCGCTCCTTATGGTTACATATCAGTGAAAATCAGCATTTACCCTGCATCCCCAGGACCCCTTCTTAAATGTCCATGTTTCTTCTGATAAAGAAGCAAGTGATATGAATATCCATGCTCCATCTGCATTTCAACAGACTGAGACATGATTAACAAGTGATGTTAGACACTTTTATCCTTATGGTGCTATTCAGTGGAATTCAGCATTCAGGTGGCAAAGTGCATTTTCCTGTAATAATTAATGTCTGTATGGTTCCAAATACAGCAGTATTTCCAAATCACAATGCGTCTGTTGCAGATGGACTCCTAGTCAAATAACTTGGCATCTGTGCCAGTACAACATAACTGCCTGAATGAAGATGTACCAACTGAGATTTTTCATCAAGTGACCAGACTGGTACAATAGTGATATAACCCTTTATTATCCACTGATGATAGAGAGTGTGAGTATTAGAGGTATTCTTAATGACCAGAGAGAGCTGCAATTTTCTGAATGTGTGTTTATTTATTTAAATGTGTTTTCCCAACATTCTGAGCACATATTTGAAATTGAATTGTAAACATTAAAATTGGCCATGCCTACATTTTGAGTGAATACTAGTATTTCAATTGACTGTAAGGAAATTGAATTACAGCAAATCAGCTTCACCCTTTAAATGGTAAATGAGAATACCTATGGAGGAGTTTGATGCAGTTAAACTAATCAGCTTTAAATTGATTTCTTTAAAAAATTCAGATTAATTTAACTGATGGTCCTCCATGTATCAAATATGTTTTTATATGAAAGGTACAATTATAGAATGATATAAGAGTCTAGATTGGAAATGTCTGGTCTGTGGAAAGCAGGGCCTTAGTCTAGGCCATAACTGTAACCTTGTCAAACTGTCTTCAATGCTTCCAACAAGGAAAAGGTCTGAACACCCTGTCTGATGTTTAGCTGTCCTCAAGATTGTTTTTTTCCCTTGCATCTAAATGGAATTTCCCCTGAATTGACTTATGCCTATTATCTCTTTCTGTTCATTTTGGAGCCTTTTGAAAAGAGGCTCCTTCTCTTCTATAACTACCTTTCAGGTGATGGAAAAAAATTCCTTCTCTATAACTACCATTCCGGTGATGGAAAACTATGATTAGATCCCTCCTGAACCTTTTCTTCCCACACAAGTCCTTTAATTTTTCTTCATACATCAAATTCTCCTATGCTCCTATGACCTTGGGTCTCCTCCTCTGATCTCTCTCTGTTTGATCTGTATTTTTCTTGGGGGGGTACCAAAACTGGGCAAAATATGCCTCATGTGGCCTAACAAGTTCTGTGTGGAGTGAAACAATCACATCCCTTGTGTTGCAGTTGCTGGTGCAATCACTGACATTGTCATTGCTGCAACGGCAGACTGCTAAGTCACGTTCAGTTCACTGTCCATCAGCAGTACCAAATCTTTTCTATCAGAGCTGTTCCCAACCTCTCAGCCCCCAGTCAGTACTACTGACTGAATTATACCATCTTGGCTGCAGGATTTCACATTTTACTTTGTTAAACCTTATGCAATTCCTTTTAGCCTGATTTTCTTGACTGTTGAGGACTTTGCATTTTACCTCTTTCATCCTCTTCCATCTATCTCCTGTCCCAGTGGGGTGTCAGATGAAAAGCTGATGAAAAGATGATAGTGTAGGCAGTGCCACCACCCAGGTTGATGACCCTGAGGAATCCCACTCATGACCAACTGACATTTTGACTCTGAGATATTGGTGACCTTTTGAGTTCATAACTTGAGACACTTTTCCATCCATCTTCAGCCTGATTTGTCCAGGCTGTCTAATCAGCTTCAACAAGTATGTGAGAGATCGTGTCAGACATCCTGCAGAGGTCAAGGTAAATGGATATCCACTGCTCTCCTCCATTCACCAAGGAAGCCATTTCATCACAGATGGCAGTAAGACTAGCTCTGCACAATTTAATATATGTAAACCTGTGTTGGCTCTTCCTAATCTTCCTGTCTTTCATTTGTGTGGACAAATTTTCCTCATGGATTAGCTCTATTACATTCCAGGAATGTGTATCTGGTCAGTATTTTTTCCTAGATTGTTTTTTCCCCAGTTGTTGATGGGTATGTTTAACTATTTTTTCATCTGTGTTCTTTGTCAATTTCCATGACCTTCCAAAAATGGCAGAGGAGGTTTGCACTAGTATCTTCTGATGTCTTCAGATTCATTCCATCACATCCTAAAAACCTCTTCCTGTACAATTGCTACAGATGGTCCCTAGCTCAATCCTCCCTTGCTGTCAGTGACTCACCATTTGCTTTTCCATTTCATCTTGGAATGGAGACTTGAGAGCTGACATTAGCCTTAAAGATCGAAGTGAAAACACGACTGAGTACTTCTTTTCTGTGTCATTTCTAAGTTGCCACCTCTATTTGGCAGCCGTCTGTGTCTTCCTTCCACTCAGTACTAAACAACCTGTAGAAGTTTCTTCCTAGTTTGAGTTCCAGCTGAACTCTTCCCTTCCTAATTTCATATCTGCAAACTCAAATAGTACCTTTTGTACTCCTCTTTAGTCATGTGCCTGCTTTGCCATCTGTCACGTCTCTTATTGTATTTGAGCTCTTTGCATGCTGTTTAACAAGAATTCTGATTTATTTATTTCTAGATCTGCTCCTTTTTTCTTTATCTTTTGTTCCACTCACTCCAAATTAGGGGGATGGACAGATTTTAGCAGGCTGTCTCTGAAAATTTCTCAGCACCTTTCCTTACCATGGAAGACTCTCACAGGAGTCCTAACAGTTCCCTGTGCAAAAACTCTCCTAGGAGCTGAAATCTGTACTTCTGAAACCTAAGGCATTTATTTTGTTGCTGCAATTTTGAGTGAAAACTTTAGGTGAGGAGTAGGATGAAGATTCTTTATTGGTATTCATGGATGTTTGTGTCTATTTGTGAGTTTTACAGTAATTTTGATATTTGTGGTATTAATTATGCATTATGCATACTAGTCATAAGTATTTACCATTACTTCTGAAGTGCAAGAGTTTATAATAAAGGAAAGCTCTCTTCTCATTCTGACATGTTTATTTACTTCTTCTGCTCAAACTGTATTATTTTGGCTGGTTTTATGTTTAGAATATGAAAGGTCAAAACATTTCCCTTTCAGTAACAATATCTAATTAAAGAAACAATAAAGAACATTTTCATAGTAAAAGGAACAAAGAAATAAAGTTTCCACATGGGATTTTCAAAATAGTCTAACTAACAGTAAAAGTTTGAGTAGTATAATGTAAATTGGAACAATTAGTGGAGAAATTCAGCTCACAATGGGACATGTGACTGTGATTGACATCCATTTCATCTCAACTCATTTACAAGTCAAGTATGTAGTCCAAGTCAGATGTTTACACTCTCCAAGTAATCAATGGAATGAAAGAAGGATTGAGTCATCCAGAGAGTGAATAATTCAGTTTTAAACAGGTATCTATTAGAACCATGATAAATATATCTTTGGAGGTGCTGCTCTCTTTAATGTCTGTGGAGGAAATTTAAATGAATAGCAAACATGTCTAATTTGAAGATGTTTAAATGAGGTGAAAATAATTTCATTACCTGTGTGAGCTCTTCATGCATAGATATCTTGTATGAGAACCTTATAAACTGTTTAATAATACACCTGAATAGTATCAATGGGCACACTGAAAGAATCCATGCAAACAGCAATATGATGTTGATTCCTGGCATATTTTTTCAGTTTTGATCCAGAGAAAGACTGATTATTTTCTTTAGTTGATTTAGATTGAACTGCTAAATATTTGACATTTAAATTGTTAGAATTAGTAATTAAGATATTCTATGCATGCACACTCCCCCAACTATTTCCAAATTCATTCCAGATTAGAAATAATTTTTTAATATCTAAATGATGTTATTCAGACCACTTTATCTATCTTTGCTCTTGATTGCTGTAATCACTCACTTGACCTTGGAATTTTCACTATGAACAATAGGGCAAAAAAAGAAATGCAGCTATTGCAACCATTACCTGTAATCCCTGTTTACATAATCTATCTTCTCATTCACTACAAAAGTTCTCATTCATTTTTTGTACAAATACTTTTAGTCTTCCAGTCCAGCCTCTTTAGAATTTGATCTGTTTTGCTGCTATCTTATTAAATACCCTTCCTCATAATTCACTAATTATGTTGTCATACTCCATACTCTTATGTCCCAATTTTGCAAGTTTCTGCCCTTAAGCTAATTCCCCAATTGCATAGTGACAATTTCAGAAAAAAAAACTAATTGCAATGCACAAAATTTAATGAAGGGGTTAATTGCTCTGGTAAAAGGAACATAATTTCTTTACTTCTAAAACCACTAGATGTTAGAGCTCTATCTCTTCTATAAAACTATTTATGTATTATTGTATATGTAATTAAAATATGCAAATAAAGTCCCTAGTGGAGCACTCTGTTACTTGTCAATGTCCAACCAAGCAGCAGACAGTTGTCAGAGAAAGTAGATATCTTTTAGTATGTTACAAAAATCAAAAGGAGTTTCAGCTAACACACTCCTTCCTATCTAGACTTAAGTGTGTTTTCAAAAAATATGTGATTTGGAACCACTCAAAGAGAGAAATGAAAATAAGCA